CACTCCCCAGTGTCCACGTCACCTGAGGTCGCTGCGTCCCCCCAGGTTCCTGCGCCTCCGCCGGTTGTCGAGTCCAATCAGGTAGCTGCGTCCCCTCCGGTTGTCGCGTCTGGTCAGGTTGCTGCGTATTGCTCGTGTCGGTCTTTCACCCACCGGACCGTCCTGTGGCACCACCGTCTTGGCCACCCATTGATCCCCCGCCTCCGCACTATGGCTAGTCACCGTCTTGTCTCAGGTCTCCCTCGCGTCTTCCCGTCGCTCCCTCCCTCGCTTGCACCCCCGTGCACTCCTTGCGTCGTTGGGCGTCTTCGTGCCACTCCGCACTCCTCCTCTCTTCGTCCGGCCTCTGCTCCCTTCCAGAAAGTCCACTTGGATGTCTGGGGCCCTGCACCTACGCAGGGACCTGAGAGGGAGCGCTACTTTCTGGTGGTCGTCGACGACTTCTCCAAGTACACCACGGTGTTTCCTCTCGTGAAGAAGTCCGAGGTGACTTCTACGCTGATCCGGTGGCTTCTGGCCACTGAGGGCACTCGTGGCCGTCGTGTCTTCTGTCTCCACTCTGACTGTGGGGGTGAGTTTCGCTCAGGCATTCTTGCCGGATACTGTGGCGAGCAGGGCATCGTTCAGTCCTGGATGCTGCCGGAGTCGCCACAGCAGAATGGGGTTGCTGAGCGCCACTCTGGCTTGGTCATGGACATCGCCCGCACGTCCATGATTCATGCCCGTGCGCCCCATTTTCTGTGGCCCTACGCGGTTCGCTATGCCGCTCACCAGCTGAACCTCCAGCCACGCGTCTCGCGGCCAGAGGCTTCACCAACCAGTCTTTGGACCGGGTCCCCTGGTGTTGGGTCAGCCTTTCGTGTCTAGGGCTGCCTTGTGCTTGTCCGCGACACCTCTGCGGATAAGCTCTCGGCTCGCGCCGTCCCCTGTGTCTTCCTTGGTTTCCCGGTAGCCTCGGCCGAGTGGTCCTTTTACCACCCGCCCCTCCACCAGTTCCTAGACTCCCGTGACGTCCGGTTCAACGAGTCAGTGTCCTACTACACCCGGTACCCCTGTAGAGGTCTCCCGGTTCCCCCTCCCCCCCTTTTCATCGCACCCTCTCTTCCCCCTGCTCCCGCTCCTCCGGTACCCCCACCCCCCCCTGGTCCTGCCCCGTCAGGTGTGTCTCACACTACCCCTCTACCCTCGGTCGCGCGTCAGGTAGCGTCTCCCTCCCCGCAGTCCTCCTCACAGTCCCCTCAGCAGCCTTCGGCACTTCCGCGACAGGTTACTGCGGACTCGGTTGGTGTTGGAGCTGGAGGTGCAGCCACTGGCGGTACTCGGTCTGGGGGTGCTCGTTCGAGGGGTGCTGGAGCTGGAGGTGCTGGCACTGGAGGTGCTAGTTCTGGGGGTGCTGGAGCTGGAGGTGCTGGCATGGGAGGTGCTAGTTCTGGGGGTGCTGGAGTTGGAGGTCCTGGCACTGGGGGTGCCAAGATAGGGGGCGCTGGAGCTGGGGACCCTTACCCTGTTGGTACCCCTTCTGGGGACACTGGTTCTGGGGGTGCTAGTTCTGAGGTGACTGGAGCTGGGGGCACTACGTCTGCGGAGAGCACTCTGCCTCCCCACCGCCACGACACGCGTTACCAGGCGGCCTGCCAACGTGCGCGCGAGGAGCAGGAGCGGTTGGAGCGGGAGCGGCAGGAGTTGCGGCAATTGGACCTGCTGGAGCAGCAGCAGCAGCGGCAGAAGCAGCAGAAGCAGCAGCAGCAGCAGCAGCAGCAGCAGCAGCAGCAGCAGCAGCAGCAGCAGCAGCAGCAACAGCAGCAGCAGCAGCAGCAGCAGTAGCAGCAGCAGCAGCATCAGCAGCAGCAGCAGCAGCGGCGGCGGCAGCCGCAGCAGCAGCCGACGCCGCCACCGCAGCCGCACCAGCTCCCTCTGGAGCGGCAATTTTTCTTGCCCATGAGTGTCCTCCGGGCCCTTGGTCTTCCCTCCTCTCCTGCTGTCCGCCCTCCGTCTCCTCCTGCGTTTGGTCCTACGTTTTCTCCTCCTGACGCCCGTCCGGCGGTCTGGTCTTCTCCTCCACCGCAGTCTCCTCTTCCTGTTGTCCGTCACTACCGTTCCCGTCCTTGTCCTCCGAGTGCTCGTCCCTCGTCCACCGTTACCGACCTCCACACTGCCCTCCTTTGTACCTCTCTTCGTCGTTCTCCTCCTCCGGTGTCAGTTCTCCCCTCTCCTCCTCCGTCTTCTCTTCCTGTCTCCCCTACTCCTATCTCCGACTACTACCGTGATGTTCGCCCTGTTGTCTCCCGCGTTCTAGCCACTGGTGTCACCGACCCTCGGTTTTCTCCGTCGTCTGTCTTGGCTCTCAATGCCGCTGTCACTGACTTTGCCGTCGCCAGCCGTCTTGACTACAACACTCGTGTGGTGCCCGCTCCGCCTACCCGCCCTCTGGCCGTCGGGGGTGAGTTTGCCCTTGGGTGTGACGTCCTAGAGGACAGGCAATCTGAGCTAGAGTACCTGGCAGCCGCTTCTCCCACTCTCTGTGCCATGCTGCTTTCCCTTGAGGGAGACCCCGACGCCCTTGCCATACCGACTCCTCGCACGTACCGTGAGGCAGTGTCAGGGCCGTGGGCCTCTCAGTGGAAGGCGGCCATGGACTCAGAGTTGGCGTCTTGGAGATCCACAGGCACGTACGTCGACGTAGTTACCCCTCCCCGGGCGAACGTAGTTGATGGCATGTGGCTCTTCAAGGTGAAGCGGCCGCCTAGATCACCCCCGGTTTTTAAGGCACGCAATGTGGCGAGAGGCTTTAGTCAGCGCGAGGGAGTTGACTTCTTTCAGACCTTCGCTCCGACCCCGAAGATGACTACACTTCAGGTGTTACTACACGTAGCAGCACAGCGTGACTACGAGCTCCACTCCCTCGACTTCTCCACTGCCTTTCTCCAGGGACAACTGCACGAGGAGATCTGGCTGCGCCGTCCTCCTGGTTTCACTGGTACTTTCCCTACTGGGACCCACTGGAGCCTGAAGCGACCAGTCTACGGTCTCCGCCAGTCGCCCCGTGAGTGGCACGACACTCTTCGCTCCATGCTTCGTGACCTAGGGTTTCGCCCTTCCTCTGCTGACCCGTCACTGTTTGTTCGTGCCGGCTCCAATCCTTTCTTTATACTCGTCTACGTCGACGACTTGGTCTTTGCTACACCAGACAGGGCAGCTCTGGCTGAGGTGAAGTCCGAACTGCAGAAGAGACACACGTGCATTGACCTTGGTGAACTGCAGCGCTACCTTGGCCTGCAGATCACCACGGACAGAGCTGCTCGCACCATCATGTTGACTCAGTCACACATGGTGCAGCAGGTCCTTCAGCGGTTCGGGCTTCAATTCTCTACCACGCAGCCCACTCCTCTTGATGTAGACCATAGACTCACCAGCCCCTTCCCCAACGAGCCCTTTGAGCCTAGTGGTCCCTACCCAGAGCTTGTTGGCTGCCTTATGTACCTGATGACCTGTACTCGCCCGGACCTCGCCTACCCTCTTAGCGCCCTCTCTTGCTTTGTTGGACCTGGGAGGCACCGTCCTGTTCACTGGACAGCTGCCGTGAGGGTGGCGAAGTACATGGCGACTACATCAGGCATGGGGCTTGTGCTTGGAGGGACTCGGCCAGTTGAGCTGACTGGCCTCTGTGACTCTTCTTACGCTGACGACATGGAGACTCAACGCTCGACCCAGGGTTACTGTTTTAGTATGGGAGCTGGGGCTGTGTCGTGGAGGTCCACACAGTCGTCGTCCATGGCTTCGTCCAGTGCAGAGGCAGAAATCTACGCCGGTGCTATGGCTGCTTAGGAGCTTCGCTGGTTGACCTTCTTGCTCGCTGACCTTGGTGAGTGACCTCACACTGCTCCGACCTTGTTCGCTGACAACAAGGCCATGATTCTCTTGTGTCGCGAGCCTCGACTGGAGACAAGGGTGAAGCACATCGACGTCCGGTACTTCCTCCTGCGTGAGCCACAGCAACGCGGCCAGGTGCGCCTAGAATTTGTGGCCTCAGAGGCCAACACTGCTGACCTCTTCACCAAAGCCTTGGCGCGTGGTGATCACCACCGGTTCTGTGTGCAGTTAGGGCTTGTTGAGGCAGATCCTCGGTTGCTGTAGCCTTGTTGATTGCGCTGCTTGTTGTGCTTTGCTATTATATATTCTAGTGAACTCTTGAACTGGCATTGTGGCCACTTGCTTGTGCTCGGAATTTGTGTGGTGTCCTTGATGTTGGGCTGAGAAATAGCCCTTAGGATCTTTCAAGGCTAAGATCTGTTGAAGTAGTGATGTTGTAATTGCGGAAGCGTAATAGTAGTATTGACTTGAACCACCTTGCACTGGTATGTGAGAACAAGATAAGTTGATAATAGCAGAGAAATACAAGGCTTTTATATAATTACAAAGGAATATGAAAAGTTCTATTTTAATTGTTTTTGCTGTTGCGGTTCGATACAGTGCCGACTCGGGTAACTGCTCAGTATCGAGTCACTTATGAGTCCTCGCTGTCGCACTGTATTTTTCGTCAAGTCAAAGGTCAGCGACCTTTGACCTTCGCGGAACCTCTAGCGGTTGCTTTTGTTGACTCGTGTTGCTTCACTGTAGTCTGCTTCGTTTCGTGTCGATACTTCAATACTTCAGAGGCGTTTAAGTTGTTTCCAACACTTAATTCCACCATAAGCTTGCTTTGCTTCTTGCATTGACTGGTCTTGTGACCGTTTGTTCACCCTGCTTGCTTTGATGCCCCTCACTTAGCCCAGGGCTGACGTTTCACTTTAGGGCTCCCTGATGCCGCTAAAAAACAATTCCCTCGATTATGAGTGCACATTGTTCAGGAGATTGTCACCCTGATGGCTCAGGGTTCAACAACTAGTCACTCTGATGAGTCAGGGTCGACAGCCTGAATTCAGGGTTGTGTTTCAAATTTTACTAGGGTGATTACTGCAATGTACAGCCTGTAACAAATTTCCTCCTACATCTACTCTACTCTAGTGCACTGGCCTATCGATGTGGAACACTTCCTCCACATCCTCATCGTCCGAAAGGAAGGGATTGTCCTCCTCCTCCTCCTCCCCCACAAGCTCCTGATCGTCGCCCAGGCCCAGGGCCTGTTCCACATCCACCTCCTCCTCCTCGTCCTCCTCCCCATCGTTCTGGTGGGCAGCTCCTGCTTCGACTTCACCCTCCTTTGCTTTCCCCCTCCTTTCGCGATCAGCCACAGCAAGCTTCACGTTCTTTGCAGGGCGCCTCCTCCTCATAGACCTCCAGACCAGGGCGTCCGGCCACTCGATGTCGTAATTCAGGAGCGAAATCTGCATCAGCTCCCCCAGCCGCGCGTTGCAGAGAGCGCCGCGCACCCAAGACTTGATCACATTTTGCCTCAAGAATCCTCTCTCGCACTCCACAGTTGACAGGGGGAGCACCGCGATTGCCTGCCACAGGAGGACGAGGTTGGGCCACCTCCTGCGAGGCACATTGTCGGAGATGGGTGGGAAACAGAGTGACCACATGCACAAAATACATTAGACTCCCGCATGGCATACCATGCTGTCACACTACAGAGACATACCTCTTCGAGTCCGCGCTCCCGAGAATGTTGGTCACTCCCTGCGTGAAGCTTTCCAGCTCGTGGTGCGCCTCCATGATCGCACAGAATGTGGGAAGCTCCCTCTCTGCGGCCTTGAGGTCGAATCCCGGCAGCTTGTGGCGGAAGAGTTTGCTGCATCCCAGAAGCCACTCACGGCACTTCTTCTCCCGTTGTGCCTTGATCTTCGGCCACTTTCCGGCCCGAAACAGCTTCGTCGGCCCCAGCTTCCCCAGGTCATCAAGCCGCTCGTTGAGATTGTCCACGCAATCGCGGGCGAAACTTCGGCACAGCTTCACGCACTCCTCGTATCCGCTCCCCACCTTGTGCCCCGGGAGCTTCCGCTCGTGCATGGTGTACAGTTGGTTCACTGGGCGTCCCTCCCCGTCCACGCCTCTCACACGGACCTTCTTGCCTCCACCATGCCCGTGCAGCTTCAGAAAGCCGACCAGCCAGCACTTGCCCTCGCCACCGAACTGCTTGTCGGTATCCAAATACCGCTCAGTCAGATCCGCCGTGGTGGCCTCGATGGTCTTCGCAATCTCCGTCACATCAATCTGTAAGGGCATAGTCATACAGGACATGTCATTTTACATCCAACACTCGAGAAATTGGAGACACTAGAAGAGGCGTGTTCGTGGAAGATTAAACAAACTCACATCTCGCTTCTGGAAACAGCGGTTGAGGTCGTTCATGTCGGCGAGGATGTCGGCGAGGAAGAACAGGCAAAACTGGAACTTGTAGCACGTGACGATCTCGTACACCTTGTGACTCCGCTCCTAGAGAAGAACGATACACGCACCGAGCACCTTGCGCAGCCGTCGCACCGCATCTCCACGTGAGAGCCAGCAAACCGTGTGGATCCCCTGGACTTCGAGGATAGTGTTGTAGATCACACGCTGCAGGTACTTGAACCGTTGGCTCCAGACTGAAGAATCTCCTAGTTTTGCCGCCACGGTGCGCACCACCTTGTCCACCATGCCGAGGTCGGGGTTGGACGTCGCCGCATCCTTAACAGCCAGCGCCTCCCTGCAATAGACAACGTTAATAATTGTTGAGTAGAAATCAGGCAAGCAACATGAACTGGATCAATAACTGGCACTAAATCTTACTGGTGCGCGATGCAGTGACAGGAAAAGAGATGCGGGGCGTGCTCCCTGATCCGCGCCACCAATCCGTTGTCCTTCCCCGTCATGACCGAAGCCCCGTCCGTACTGATTCCGACAAGCTTCGACACGTCGACGGCTGCGGAGCGCAGATGATTCATGAGCACCTCGAACAGGGACGCAGCATCACACTTCTCCACAGTCAGGAGGGTGAAGAACTCGGTGACGACTCGGCGGTCCTTGATGAAGGTCAGGTAAACAATCATGTGTTTACCACGCGTTCGGTCAGTGCTCTCGTCGCATTGCAGGCCCAGGAACGGTGAGGAGTTGATGTGGTCCATCTGCGCATTCGTCAAGTACGTACTGAGGCAGTGAACCATCTGCTGGAAGCCATACCTGCGCAGAGATGTAGGTCCTTCAGTTAGTCTTTCTGGGGGAAAATATTTCATTACCACGAATTCAATACTGCAAGATTGTAACTAAAATGTCCTACCGTGTGAGATAAACACCGTAAGACTGTCTCGGGATGTCGGGCGTGTCCTGCTCCGCGAGATGCCGCATCAGCCTAGGCTACATGCTTATCGGCGCGTCGCACTTGCACAGAAACACAACCGACCGCAACAATCGGACGGCGCGCCTGCCCTCGACGTCCGAGTTGATGAAGTTCGAAATCACTTGCTGCCCCTCGCGGATGCCTCTCGCAATCTTCAGCTGCCGGTCAGCAGCCGCTTTGTGCGCGTCCGTGTGCTCGTGTGCGCGATACGCCTGCGTCTGCATGTCACGGCCTCCGTCATCACCCTGCCTCGCGTGCCTCGTGTTCTCCTTCCCGTAGGCCATGCAGACACTGCACTTCACATAGGGAAACCCATCCTTGGTTTTTCCGAACACAAGCCAGGAGAACTGTCCCGACCACCTCGTATCGTACATGATGCTGGCCTCCAGGAACATCTGCTCCCACAACTGCGCCTTGGTGAGGGCGGGCGAGCCGGTGTAAGCGCGGATCGGGAACACATCTTCCTCTGGCGGTGCAGATGCAGCAGGTGGTGGATCAGCCGGAGTGTTCGAAGCAGAAAGTCGGCGGCCTCCGACGAGCAGGGTATGCTGCGCCCACTTCCCTGAACGCGCTCTCTTCGGTGTGGAGGTAGCCGACGGAGGACCAACGGACACCCGCACGGTGCTTGGTGTGGGACTTGGCGCGGTCGGTTGGGGATCTTTGCTGCAAGAAGCAACAGCCGGGGGTATAGTGAAGGCGGCCTCCCGGGGAGACTCTTCAGGTGTGGCCGTGGGCGTGTCTTTAACTGCAGAATCATCTACGGTAGACCTAGGTGGATCCGGTGTTACTGGAGCAGCGGAACCTCTAAGAAAATCAAGCCCCGAGCGTGGCTCCGTGGCTTTCGGCGGTAACGGTGGCTCATCTGAGCCAGCCTGAGGCGTGTCCTCGTCAGCCTGCTGGCCTTCCATGGCGGGGAGAAGCTAGAGATGGGGAGAGAGAGAAACGGAGAAATGAATTGAAAAAAGGGAACATAACAGCAGCACCAACAAGACCCTGGCTGTGGGAGGGGGGAAGCAAGAGATGGAGGGAGACGGTGGGGTCAGCAAGAATCCACCGCGTCGCCACGAAATTGATGGCGCGGTGGTCGAAACAACGAGCCGTCATTGTATTCGGCCTTTCATGCAGGCCGAATACATTGAACGACTGCTTCACTGCCAGCGACGACAGCCACTAAGTGTCTCCCTCCAATGAGGGACACGTATTGTGATTTGCGCGGTGCGCGTGGCAGTACATATGATGATTCTAGGTGCGCTTTCAGGGTCCACAGGTCGCGTACTCTGTATTGACAGGGTCCATGCAAACACTACACTGAGAGTGTATTGAGAATTTCAGGCCCCGCTAAATCAATACTCTGAATGGATCAGGGACCAAAATGTGAAAAACCTGATTTCACAGGGATCACAAGGTGAGAAGCCTGAAATCACCCTGAAATCAGGGTAATTACCCTGATAAAATCAGCCCTGACTTAGCCTATGGTATTGTGTCAAATGTTGATATTTGTGATAGGCTATAGTGAGGTGCTCCTTAGTGAGTACAACTCAGTTAGGGTTTGCTATTTGTATCACCCACATTCCTAATCTCATCATTCCGTTGCATTCCTACTTTGAGATTTATTTGATTCACACATTGCTAACTTGCTCTGATTAACACACAAAATTGCCCTGTAGCAATGACGACTGTCAATGTATTGTGCACTTCTCTATAGTGCATCTTTCATAAAGAAAAAATGCTCTGTAAATCTCCTGTTCACATAATATAGCACCAAGGACCAGCTATCCCTAAAGAATGAGTGAAGGCATCTGGAACATGCAATCTGGCACTTGCATGACCATATGCCGCAACACTCGCCTACATGGAAGGATCATCTCGGTCATAAGCACACTCACATCCTAGACTTCCACCATCGCCAATCCCTCTAGTAGTGCTTCCTGTTAGCAGCCACGTTAGCTCGCTCCTTTTTCCCGTGACTGTGCCTCGCTTTCTTAGCCCCATTCTTCTTGGCTCCATGTTTCTTCCTCCTCGACCCATCAGTGCTCTCAGTTCTCACCCTGCTGCTCACAAGGCCTGAGCTAGTCAGGCTGTTCGCGCTGGCCATACCGCCACTCGCTTTCCCGCATCCGCGAACCTGGTTGCAAGCGAGCAGTGCGCCGTTCTCTCCGCATGTGCACTGCTCACAGCGCCCCCTGGGGCCTGGCACGCCGTCCGTCCCTTCGACGTAAAACTTGGGACCCCAGCTCTTCCCCGCCGCCACACACACCGCCTCCTCGCCAAACCCTTCGCACGTGCCCTGGTCCACTGGCCGGCCATCGTTGTCCTGTCCTCCACCGCCCACAGTGTGAATCATGCACCTGAGAATTTCGACGCGGAGGAACCATGACGTGAGTGCGGGCAGTAAAAATATATATACTGAAAGCAAAAAAAATCGGGGAAATAAAAAACCGTCATCGAGGTTCGCTATCATCCATGTCTCACCTTCGGGTCTCGGGGCAGATGATGCCGTTTCCCTTGGGGCCCTTCACCAGGTCGCCCTGCCAGTCCACGTAGCACGGCCCAACGTCCTCGCAGTCGCACTCCGCCGTGTTCACCCCAATCAAGCTACCAACACCGCTCCTCCCACCTGCTCCCCCCCGAGTCCCCGCTAAGCGCCATCCCTCAATACTGTTTATGGAGGCGGCGTAGTCAGCAGCGGCGGCGGCGACGGCGGCCACCTCCTGGGCCTTCTCGGGGTGGTTGGTGCAGGTGCAGCGCGCGCAGGCCGGATTGCCCTTGATTCCCTGCGTGCCCACGGCGTACGGCTGACTCGTGTACATGCAATGAGAACCCACTGCGGGTATGGGAGAAGGGAATGGGATTTGAATGCGAGAAGGTGAGAAAATTACACGGGATAAAGCGTCAAAATGTCAACGGGTGAAAAGAAACAGCTTAAACAAGGGATAGCTGACTGTACGTCTGTCTCTAGAAACTAGCCGCAATTAGTGCGTCAGCTTAGTGGAAGGTGGGGTGGGGCAATGAAGTGAAGTGCGCTGCGACGTACGGGCGTAAGAAGAGTTGCAGAAACCGGTGAAGACGGCGCTCGCGGGTGTAGGAACACGCGTTACCACGCAACTGAAGGGTTCAGAGGGGGTGAAAATCCAAGACGAGAGAGCGGAAAAGTTATATTGCGATGCTTACGCCACGACGAACGAGGAGGCGTTCACGAGCATTGGAGAAGATGGTGGGCAACCAGGAATAGCAGGAAGTGGTGGGTAGAGGAAGATGACGACACGGACGAGCGAGGAGCGGAGTGAGGGGACTCAACTGGAAGGAGCTGGAGGCGCAGGGAAGGCCGATAGGTTGGTGGTTGGCGTTGAGCGTACACCTGGCGCCGTCTGGTAAGCCGTCCTCGTTATCAGCCGCTGTTGAGACAATTCGAGAGGTCTTGTGGCCTATGTGTGTGTGTGGGAGAGATAGAAATGGACGGGTTTTCTATGGCAGCGAGGAGGTCAAAGACGTATGAACGGGTGTTGATTGGAATTGAAGCCTGGGGAAGATAGCTGGAAGAAACATGTGGGTATCGACAGAAACGCCACCGTGGACCTCAGGGAAAGCTCACCATGAGATAAGGCGAGGGGCAGTGAAGCCAGTGTTAGCAGTACCGCCAGCGTCACCACTAGCGCCCGCATCTCGCAGCCTTTCCAGCTGCGTGGCGTTGAGGCCGCCATCGGTCAGTTGAGCGCGACCACAGGAAAACTCTAGCAAGATGTGGGTTCGCACACGAAATCCAGTCAGGTTGGGAAGTGCAGATGTATTTTCCTTGTGAAAAATATGTATTTTGCTTGAACTTGCGCAAAGAGTGCTGAAATAAGAGAAGTCGCTGAAGTGGATGTCCAAGCAGGTCACGCCTTCATTTGAGGAAGTGCTTGGTGGTTCTGATGTGATGGAGTGGTGGGACCAAGTGTGATGATGTTTCAAATTGGGGCTGGGAAGAACAGGGGCGCATTGACGGACGTGCCCGTTGCTGAAATCGAATCGCGTTTCGGGCAACATTGAAACACCGGCATCGCGATTTGTCAACGGCAATCAATTACTGCATCAGCATATCCAGCAATTAGAACAATGTTCCGCAAACACGAATAAGCACAAGTTCCAACGACTCTTGGTTATTGTCCGCCAAAAATGTTTTCACAGTTCGACCAGCTCTCGTGCTATCAAGGTGTGGCAACGGCATTTGCAATTACATGCGCGGTCGAAACTTGTTTGTGGGCTGGGGAAACCAATGTGCTTCGAATTTCGTGCCCATGAAATGTGATGTTCCGTTGCGGGGCTGAGCGTTGTCTGCGGCAGGCACCCATAGCGCGATTCCACCACCCCTTTTTGACTCCTAGCCTATACCCGAGGTCACCACGTGTATTTTTGTTCTAACGAGGTATGTAAGTGCAAGGGGTGGACAAACCACCCTGCCCTGCAAGTGTACCCGAGGAGCCGGGGTTTCCGCGATATACACGTATTCGCGTAGCGGAGGGAGCTTCTTGAGGGGGGGGGGGGGGGGGGGGGGGGTAGTGTAAGGAATTTTCTCGACGTTCCTTACCGCGACCATCAACATCGCGTACAGCAACAGCCATTGTTCTCCCGTTACTGTTAACGAGGCTTCGCCAACTTCGCGCGCACTGTTTCACCAAACCATGCACCGCTGGCCCGGCCGAGTCGGACTACGCTTTGGGGCTAGCCCGAACCTCGATGCCAGCCTAGCACTAGCTAGCTCGCACGCACCGCGTAACCATTGCATGTTTTCGCACACAAGTATTCGCTCATACCTTCGCTCATACTTCTGTACTTTTGACCCACATAGTGCAATCCTCGCTATCTTGTTCCATTGCACCCGTAACACTTGGTATCAGAGCCACCTTTTCTTCGGACCACGCATCTCCGCACCTAGGAAATCAACTTTTGATTTTTGCTTGAAGGGACTCACGCCCCTTAGTGCCTAGGAGTCGCTGTCGTCGCGTTCTCTCACAAACGCATGTAGCCACGACAGCGCCTAGACTAAGCTGAGCCGACGCCCTTCGAAATGGCCGAGTACATCGACGTCACGACGCTTACGTAGGAACGCTTGAATGAACTGCTGCAGCAGCTGCACGAAAACTATGAAGAAATTGCAGTGCTGACGGCAGAACGAACGTCCCTGCAAAACGACGTCGCACGAGCACAACAAGCACAGTCACAGACACAAGGCACGCACAGACAACCCGCACGACAGGCATCACAACATGGAAGCATGGGGCAACCATCGAGCGCGGCTAGTGATGGCGTCGCCCGCAACGACGGAGACGACGACCACGGCACGACACACCCCGGAGCGACGAATGCGGCTAGAAGCCAACCGCGCTTCACGATTTCGGTGCCGACCGGCGAGTCAGCACTGCCGTCGCCAATGCAGCTGAAGCTGCAACGTCCGCCTTGCTTTGACCCGAATCAACGGGGTGGTCCTACCGTTCAGGCGTGGTTATTCACCATGAACGTGTTCTTCGACGCGAACTAAGTCTAGGAGGATTCGGCGAAGATTCGCTATGCCATGTCGCTGCTGCGAGGACCCGCCATGGATTGGTGGCGCGTCGTCGTCACGAAGCCGATGGACTACCAGACTCTACCGACACGGGAAGGACAAACCGGACCCTGGGCGCCGTCATATTTCGTGGAATTGCCCTAGTATCGCACATGGGATGCGTGGTGTGCAGGTCTGCGTGCGAGATTCGAGCCGATTGAGGCTTCTATCGCGGTGCGTCAGAGGCTCCGCACTTGGCGTCAACTCGGTTCCGTCCAGGACTACACCAGCGGGTCCAGGACTACACCAGCGGGTTTCTGGCCCTGTTTGAGTAGGTGGGCTACATGCACGAGGGCGAGCGCATTGACCGCTATATCGGCGGCCTGAAGCACGAAATCGCTAAGGAAATCCAGCTCCGCAACGTCACCGAATTTCAGGAGATTCTCGCTATGGCTGAAAAACTTGACTTTCTTCGCCGATCGAGATCAGGGTCCTACGGCAACAACAGTAGCTGGGGGCATCGCCCTCGCGGGACGAACGAGCACGCCACGATACGCGTTGTCGCCGCAAATGCCGCTGCCGCACCGTTCAGAGGGAGCATCTTCGCGTGCAACAAGCTGGGACACCGCAAAAGCGAATGTATGGAAAACGCTAAGGGAAAGGGGGAAGCTGAGCAGCAGAAACAGACCAAGCAGCAGGGAAACATAGGGAGTCAGTAGCAGACGGGCCCTCTACTGATAGGTCACACCGCTCGCCCGACCCAAACGACCCTCACCGAGTGATTGTGCTGGTTCACACAATCGACCACACATGGCCGAATAAGGAGGGTACCGCGGTAGATAGCCCCATACTGCTTAGTGGGAAGATTGGGACAGACTTAGTTAAAATCTTCGTAGACGGGGGAGCCAACCACAACCTCATCAACACTACCACAGCACGAAAACTTAAACTGCCACTGGACATGTGTTTACCTGAGATTGACGCAAGACTGGTCGACGGCACGCCATTGGCGATACGGGAACGGGGTTGTTGGGTGCAAATTACAGTGCTATGAACAGTGCAAACAGAAATGACGAGCTCGCAAAGGAACCCAAGATGGAAGCTTTGCAGTTCGGTTGAATTGATTGCGCAGATTCAGTTATATCCAACTCGAAATTGTATTGTTTTGTTTGGTTGACTATACTGTAGCAGGGCAGGCACTATAGGGGTACAATTTAGGTGAAGGTTGGATGTTGTTTGTCTGTATCTTGTGAAGAAACAGGAATGAATGACTAGAAAATGAGTTGGGTACAAATATGAAACCCTAGGAAACTGTACCCCATAGTGTCTACCCCACTACAGCCTAGACACGCTATATGATTAATCTTTGACACACCCCCATAGGCAAAGTGGGGGAGAACAAGGGGTTGTCAGAACATATAGCTCATGCATATTGTGTAGGCTATAGTGGGGTAGCCCATAAGGGGTACAACCCAATTAGGGTTATTACTTGTACTCAATTCATTCATAGTTCATTCATTCCTTGTTTCTTCTCATGGTATCGAGCAGGTTCCCCTGTGGGAACTGTTCCTAGGGCCCACCGTTTTTTTTCCTGCCCGGAGCGCACTCAGCCCCTGCCCGAGTCGCGCTCCCCTCTCTCGCGCCGCCCTTCGCGGCCCCTACTCCGCCGCCCTCGCGGCCCCGATCCGCCGCCCTCGCGGCCCCGATCCGCCGCCCTTCGCGGCCCCGATCCGCCGCCCTCGCGGCCCCTTCTCCGCCGCGCTCGCGGCCCCTATCCGCCGCCCTCGCGGCCCCGCTCCGCCGCCCTCGCGGCCCCGATCCGCCGCCATTCGCGGCCCCTATCCGCCGCCCTCGCGGCCCCGCTCCGCCGCCCTCGCGGCCCCGATCCGCCGCCCTTCGCGGCCCCGATCCGCCGCCCTCGCGGCCCCTACTCCGCCGCCCTCGCGGCCCCGATTCGCCGCCCTCGCGGCCCCGATCCGCCGCCCTCGCGGCCCCTTCTCCGCCGCGCTCGCGGCCCCTACTCCGCCGCCCTCGCGGCCCCGATCCGCCGCCTTCGCGGCCCCGATCCGCCGCCCTAGCGGCCTCCGGCCCCTGCTCCTACGGCCCCGGCGCCTGCTCCTACGGCCCCCGCGCCTACTCCTACGAGCAGCCCACCCGCCGAGCCGCCCAGCAACCGAGCAGCCCAGCCGCTGAGCCGCCGAGCCGCCCAGCAACCGAGCCGCCCAGCCGCCGAGCCGCCCAGCAGCCGAGCCGTCCAGCCGCCGAGCCGCCCAGCAGCCGAGCCGCCCAGCAGCCGAGCCGCCCTGCCGCCGATACGCCCAGCAGCCGAGCCGCCCAGCAGCCGAGCCGCCCCGCCGCCGAGCCGCCCAGCCGCCGAGCCGCCGAGCCGCCCAGCAGCCGCGCCGCCCAGCCGTCGAGTCGCCGAGCCGCCCTGCAGCCGCGCCGCCCGAACCGCCCTGTCCGGTAAGAGCAGCGCCTCTCTCACAGCACTGCCCTCACCCTACTGTTTGCACTGCTAGTCTACTGCTGTCATGGCTACCCCTAGTGTCCTCGCTTTTGACGCTGAGGGTTGGGCCATTGACTTTGACGTCTGGATAGATGACCTGCAGCTTTTCTTACAGTGCGACAGAGCAGACGGCCTCTCCCTCTTTGACCTCACTTCTGGTGCCTCTCCTGCCCCCGCTGCTGATGCTGACGCCACTGTTCGCTCACAGTGGGCCACGCGCGATGCTGCTGCACGTCTTGCTGTGCGTCGCCACCTACCTACCTCTGAGCGTGCGCACTTTAGCCAGTACAAGAGTGCTCAGACCTTGTACGACGCTGTAGTTGCACGCTACTCCTCCTCTGCCACTGCTGCACTCAGCCGCCTCATGCTACCGTACCTCTTCCCTGACCTTGCTGCCTTTCCCACAGTCGCTGACCTCATTACGCACCTCCGCACTAGTGACACTCGCTACCGCGCTGCGCTTCCTGCTGAGTTCTGCGCCAAGAACCCCCCCCCCATGTACATCACCCTCTACTACATAGTCACCCGTCTCCCTGACTCCCTTCGCGTAGTCAGGGACCACTTCCTCTCGGTTTGTCCCACCACTCTCACCGTTGACCTCCTCGAGAAGGCCCTCCTAGCAGCAGAAAAGAGCATAGTCGCTATAGGAGCCTCTCGTGGTGACCCTCGCACCC